ACTACCCCCGGTTACAACAGTGGTCTGCCCCCCTGATCCACCACCACTGCCTCCTCCACAGCAAATTCCTCCACCACTGCCCCCTCCAATCTGGGGGACCTTCTGCTGGCAAATCCCGCCCCCAAGTCCTCCTCCAATGCAACATCCAGATGATTGGCCGCCTGGTACTACGACGACTCCAGTAGAACTTCCACCACAGCAGCCAGAGCTCTGGATCTGTCGGATGCCACCACAACAGGATGATCCTTGGCTTCCAGATACCACCATCACATGTCTGGATCCACCTCTACAGCAGCAACACGCACAGCAACATCCGGAGCCTCCACTGCCTCTTCTTCTGTGACAGTGACCGCTGGATCCACCACCAATACTGCAGCAACCACTAGATTGAATTTGTTGGCTCATCTTTTCTGGGAGTGAGTGGTGTTGGTGGATGAACGTTCCCCTAAATGAAAACAACTTAGGTTATCATACAGCTCCTGCATCTTGGTGGCTCTGTTGTATGAATCAATGCCAGGCTATATGAAAAAGAATTCCCTTCAAATAAAAAAAATTGGGCCTCTTAAGGAGGTCAAATTTATAAATTGCTCTCCTTTAAGTTTGTTTAAATTGCTCACCTTTTTCTATCTGCAAGGTGAGCTACCTGCAGTTGCTCACCTTTTCTATCTTATTTCACTTTTTCAAGGAAGGAAATTGTGTCATGCAAAGCTGAAATAGGCTTCCATTCAGTTCTGAAGATTTGGTTTGCATCGACCATTTGATGTTACATTGCTAGTTACAGCATGGCAGCGTCAAAATACCCAGACCATATTCCACATGGCTACTACTGCCAGTACTGAACTGTCTGTGTGCAGACATGAGGTTTTGGTGGGAACAACTTGGAAGACAATTTCATCACTGGCTAATTCGAAGAATCTCTGAGGATAAATTTGAGGGAGTGGCAAAATAGTTTGCCTAACTATAACCATATAAGTGTCAGAGAATTGGAAAAAAAAATCCCACTGCTAACATACAATCAGACAATGCTAATCTCGTGCTCTTGAAATCAGGAGCTACACCCAATAGTCTGGCTACATCCCAAACCCAGCCCTTACTATCAGCTATCAAGATCAGTGAAGAGATGGAAGAAATTTCAGCAAAATCACCCAAACCCTTGGAGTTTTGTTTCATACTAGGATGATGAACCATCCTCCAGAAGTTTTGGAACTCCAACTCCCATTATCCTTGACTATTGGCTACATTGGCTGGTCTAATGGAAGCTGGAGTCCAACAGCGTTTGAAGAAACCCAGTTTCCTTCTCCAATCTAGAAGAAATTCTTCACTGTTCACATTGAGACATCATTCAGTTTTCTAAACCAACCCTTTCAAGAGCTATCATAGAAAATCCTCCAGTCATCCATGCGAAGACTGAAGAGCACCAAGGAAGAAAAGAATTGGATATTTCTGAGCTTGGTCTTACCTTCTTGGACAAATGAGCAGGATGAAGAAACCCCAAAGGAGTGTTTTATGACCGAAGAGACTGAGGTCCTTTTTATATCTTCTTCTTAGCCTCTCCTACGGGAAATGAGACACCCCAAATCACGGTGAGTGACTTAGTTAGCATGTCTAACAGCTAGCTTCATAAAAGCTTTGCAAGTCATATGAGATCAATATCTCTCTTTTCCATCACTACTCAGTTTACAAACATAAACAATTTAATAACCTGTTCTACCTAATAGGTTAATTCCGGAAGTGCTGGATTGTTGAGGGGCCTCTCCCATCTAAGGGGCTTTTGATGAATTCAAGATTCAACCCCCCCTTTTTTTGGAAGAGGGGTTTTAAGTAAGTATGGATGAATCATTCTGTTTTGTTTTTTTTGGAAATGGATTTTTCAAGTGCTTCTCTATTCAGTTGCTTTTTATTTTCATATTAAGCTGTTGCAACAGTTGGAAAGGAAAAATATGCCGAACTGCTGCTCAAAACAGAATACATTCTAATTGCATGCAATCCAAAAAGAGATGTTCGGAACAATTGCTTTTGTAGAAGTCGAGGTGAAGGAATGTGAACTTCAACTTGTTTAATTCCACCCAGCCTTTTCTTTTACTAGTTTTTCACTCCTCATTCCCCCATTTCTATATCAACATATAAAGGACGTTTTTGTACAAGTTCACGAGTTCAACAAATGGATTGGCATTTTTGTCTGCATTTTTCCAGATAAAATAAATTTTATCTATATATTTAAAATGTGTGCTGTGATGCTTTCTGGGCACTTCTATATGATCATTTTCTAATATACACTGGTTTGTGGGGTATTTTTTTAGAAACACATTTTCTCTAAATTAAAGCATTTTATATGCTTTTTTAAAATAGATTTTTAAAGAATTTTCCTCCATTTTTTTTTTCCTCTTGAAAAACGCATCTTTGGGACAACTGTGACCTGGATGACTGAGAATCTCCATAGACATTTTCCTCCAAAAGTTGTGAACTGGATTATGTTTCCTTTTCCATTCAGTTTTACATTTACATTTTTTTCTCAAGTCAGGGTGAGAATGATCTCAAGATTAAATAAATATATAAAATAGAAGGCTCAGAGAAAGAAAAGCAAACAGATTTGATACCTGATACTTTGATACTTCTTCACTTGATTTGGGAATAGATGGGTTAAAAAATACAGTGAGAGCAAAAGGCAGATTATCAACCATATGGATTTTGGATTTGAACGCTACTTTTTTTTACTTATTTGACCATCAAGATGGCTTAGAGCAGTCAAAAAATAATAATACAGAACTTTACTTCTGGGGAAGACATGGTGAATTGAAGGTGGTTCTGCTGAAAGACAAGCTGATAATGGTGGTGGAATGAAGAACAGGCAAATGAACCAACTCTACAAGATTTCTTTCTGGTCAAGGAGAGGACATGAGATTGCCCACAAGTGCTCCAGACAGTTGCTTCTTGTAAGGAGACCACAAGACAACATTTTCTGGTGGATTTAAATACAGGATGGAATAAACTCTCAGTGAAAGATGTGGGGAAAAAAGGATGGGACAGAAATCCACTGATTTGGTCTTTCTCATAAATATGTGTATATGTGGGTGGGGCTACATGAATATATACTTATTTAATCATGGCTTCCCTGACCTTTATTTTTGATTATGGGACGACTTGTCTCATGACCTAAGATGCACCATATGCCTGAGACAGGATCTTGCATCACTTGGCAGGTAGATTAAAAGACAGAGATTAAAAGACAATGAACTAGTATTCCATAAGTGAAACCATCAAGAAAGAGCAAAGAGAATGGCCCAAAGAGCACTGCACACCAGAACAACTAGACACAAGAACAGTTTTTCTCATCACTCTGCTAAACAAATAATTCCCTCAACATTGTCTAACTATTAACAAAGTCTGCACTACTATTACTATTCATTTTCTCATCACTCCTTATTGCCCATCCCCTCCCACTTGTGACTGTATGACTGTAACTTTGTCGCTTGTATCCTTACAATTTATATTGACTGTTTCCTAGTATGATTTGATTGCTTATTGTATCCTGTGACTATCATTAAGTGTTGCACCTGATAATTCTTGATGAATGTATCTTCTCTTTTATGTACGCTGAGAGCATTTGCACCAAGTCAAATTCCTTGTGTATCCAATCACACTTGGCCAATAAAAGAATTCTCTTCTCTTCTCTTCTCTTCTCTTCTCTTCTCTTCTCTTCTCTT